TGGGGGTGACTCTTATCTGTAGAAACCTGTTTTTCATAACAGAGTGCCTTTGCGTATGTTTTTGAGTTGAGTTCTTCTTCCGTTAATGCAAAAAATTTTCCTGTCATAATCACTGCTTTTACAGTTTTGCTAAGGACAAGTGGAAGGTTTTACTGTTTCTCTTCTTTCATTTCATTGGAGTGCTAAGTCCTAGATGGCTTCTATCATGGGTCAAGCCCTGGTCTCCAGCTCCCTTCTTCTACCATTCTGTTCTTCTCTACTAAATAATGCCCTGTCTGCTACTTTTTGAATCACAGGAACTTTGGATATTAGCAATGATCCTGTTAATGCTTTATTTCATATTCCAGTTTCATATTGGAGATATTCTGGAGAAAGAGCCGCAAAAAGAGAAGAGAGTTGGAATGTTCTCACTTTCTGCTGAAGCTTGTTTTAATCACCAGTGTGAGCCAGCACCTAATATTTTGAATATGATTGCTTAGAGCCCATAAATCAAAGAGCTGAAGAGCAGAAGAGATCAACAGACTTTCTTACACTGACCCTGCCCTCTAGTATATAAATATTTTTTTTTTTTACACTGAGCTACCTGGTGTAAACACACCACTGGCACATGCAGTGAGCCCTCCTGCTGGAGATGGAGCCAAGGTTTCCTTGGCTCTTGAAGTTCTGGAAGGGGTTTAGTTTGAGACCTTGACCTTCTTCTGTCCTTCATCGTAATATGGTAATTAGACCTACAACTTAGACTTGTTGGCCAAAGGGAAGATTAACAAAAAGTGTTGATGAGAGTCATGTTTCCCTTGGGACAGAGAAGTGTTCTGAGAGAACTTGTTTTCCTCCATTCCATTATTTCCATTTATTTCCATTAGTTTTACAAAAAAAGCAGTCCTACCTTCTCTGTGTCAGTAAATTCGGTAAAGATACAAACTGGTTAAATTAGGAACAAATGTATGGAAACAAATTAATTAGAAAAAAAAGGGGTTCCTAAATTTTTGTTGTTTAACATTATTCTAATATTAAAAAATTAGTAGTAAATTTTTGATATGGCCTGTGGAATTGTGGAATTTACTGCCTAGCTAGGGTTTTTGGCATCTAAATTTATCTAGATGCAAAAAATCAGATTTCTGTATGGATAACCAGTATCTAGAGCTAGCAAGAAAGCAGCAAATTTCAAGCTTCATTCTCTATTTGTTAAAGACACATAGGAATTTTAAAGTAGTAGAAAATAATTGCAATTTTTCTTATGAATTTTCTTATAATTTTTTTCCTAATCTGGATTATACTGAAAATATTTTTTTTAATATATGCAACATTAGTGATTCTGGGCAGAGGTTTCTTTAGTTTAATATAACATTCTTTAGAAAGATATCCAATCCAAATGAGGAATTAATATTTGAGCTTTTTCTGATCTTTATTTGTAGAAGGCAAATGCCAAGCTTCACAGAAGTCAGACTGCATTTTTAAAATTAATCCTGTTTCAAGGCAATGAATTTTTATTTGAATATATTCAATGAAACTCCATTTATGTAGATTTTTTCAACCTGGAAATTCTACCAAAATTAATCCTGTTGAAGTTCCAGTAAAATGTAAATCTTAATTCACTTGTGAGGTAGAAATGAGTTTAAGTTTCAGCACAATAGTTTGTACATCACAGCTTTTTTTTTTTTTTTTTTTTTTAATTTATTTTCATGACTGAATTTTGCTGCACTGATCCTATTTTCCAATGGTAAAAACTTGGTCACGAATTTTTGCCTTTATTTTCTGGAGGCTGGAATCCTTGTCAGGATATGCCTGAAGCACATGTTCTATATTAAGCCAAATAAAATTAAATCTATCCTTAAAATTAAGCTGGTGCTTATTCTTTGCTTAATAAAAATTAATTAAGCATGTGTTAATTATTTACTGGGATTGAAGTCTGCTTGCTGAGTTAGAGGATAGAATTTTTGGATTAGTTTTTTACAGCCCTCTTCATAAAATCACAGATGGAGCATTCAAATGTCCTGATTGCTCACATGTTCTCATGATCTGTAGCCAGGATCTGGTATGGATTTTTTTCAGTTCAGTCAGAACAGGACTTCATCTGGAAAGCAGCAGATGGAAGGAAGGGAGGGGATCCAAGTTTTTAATCCTTTTTTCTTTTTTTCTTTTCTGAACAGATGTTGTTGAGATGATCGAGCTACAGAGCCACAAATCCAACCCAAAACTGGGTAAAGAAATATATACAAACATATGTTGATACTTGGTACATGGTTAATCAGGCAGGCTACAGTCATCTACTGCTGACATGAATATCTCCCTTGTACATAATGGAGATGACAGATTTTTTAAGGCTACGTTTTGTAGAAACGGCTATGTTTTAGGGCTATGTTTTGTAGAAAAACATTTAATTTCGTGTGTTGTTTTGATTTTTCATTTAGTCAAGAGAAAAACTACCAAAAACAGTAAAAATTTCTTTAGTAACAGTTAAATGCTTCAGCCCAGGACAGTAACCTGAAAAGTATGTGGAAAAAATTTTAGAATGAATGATGGAATGCTTTTAGAACCGGAATGATGGGAAGGTTATAGCTTATGGCTCAGGTACACAGACTTTAGTTTGGGGCCATAATTTCACTGACAACTGTCACGTGGGATGCTAAATAAATGGGAAAATAATTGTATACAATAAGATTTGCTGATGAGTTAAGGAGCAGTATTTTTCTGATTAGTAATTTTCATAAAGATAAGGCTATTAAATTAGAACTATGCTGATCTTACCATGGTGGTCATGATGAAGTAATTCTGATTTTGTCAGTTATATATTTATTGCATCTACATCTTTAAAAAACCAAAATTCATTACTTTGATGACAATTCCTTCAAATTAAAGTATAAATGAGACACCTCACTATTTTTTAGCAAAACTCACCAGTTAAATTAAATATATGCAAAACTTTGAGAAAGTTACTAATTACAGGCTATTAAAACTTCTTCTGCATAGTAACTTCCTTGTTGAAATACAGTAGTTACGAATGGAGGGGATCCCAACAGGCACCTGTTTTACACTCGAAATCTCAGTATTATTGCTCTACAGTAAAGCATTCTGCTATGTAACGTAAGTTAAGGAGGAATATACAGCAATAGTTCTGTTATCTTGTCTGGGAAGATCAGAAACGAAGTTCAGGTTGGATGGGACAGGTTGTTGTCACTATGCAAACAGTTCTGACTGCAATATCCATGGCCAAAAGAAACAACATAATATGGAGAATACTTACACTAAATCAAAGTTTACTCTTTTTTTTAAAAAAATGCCTCCAAATCCTTAGAATCAAAAGCATTTAACTGCAAAGCATTATACTGTATGTATAAAAAGATTCTGGTATAATCTAGGTCATATCTGACTGACCATATAGAATAAAATGTCTTTAATTTCTTGAGGTATAAACAGAAAACTATAAAAGAAAATAATAACAGTCTACATAAAAGATGTAAAATTTTGAGGTTTTTATAAATACAGAAGGAAGAAAATCTAAGGAAATTCACCATGAATACTGAAGAATCCATAACTCATTAATTTCTGTTCCTGTCAAAACACCCTTAAATCTAAAACAGTTTAACACCAGGAATGCCTAGAAAATATTTTTGTGAGGAAGATCATATATAAACATATAATATTAAAAAAACCCAAGGTCAGAGCAGCCTTCTCATAATACATAGAAATTATCTGATTTTACATATTTCAGGCCTCTTGTCTCATTGGAGTTTGGTATTTTACCAAGACTGTGAAGTACCTCATGGGCTCATTAGAAATGTAGGGATTTAAGTGCTGAATACAATTATTAATTTTATAAAACTGTCATAAAGCTACATAAATACTACAGCTTTCTTTAAACAAGGTAAAAGACACTTCTTCCATCATGTCATACATGAAACTGTGGACTCCACCAAAACCTATGTATCTAGCATTTTATAAAGAGGCCCTTACCCTTGTACTGACAAAATACCAGAGAAGGATGTAAGGACAGCTGACAACATAAACATTTAGTGGAAATGATGGTAGCCAGAAAAAGAAATTTTAAGTATTTATCTAAACCAAATCTGCAATTTCTGCACTTTAAAAATACATAGCAAAACTCTCTGTAGGAAAATTGGTGAAAAACAAGGACTCAAGGACAAGGTAAGATTGGAAATTAAGACAGCCTACTGAAAGTTATTTGGATAAAAGAGTTAGGGCCATAACTTTATCGGAATTGAAGCACAGAGACAGAACACATTTATTTCACAAGAATGAAAGAGAAGGCAACATGACACATGGACTACAAGAAGGATATAAGGAAACGAAAGAAACAAGATGCAAAGCGTTTTCAATTCTAAGATGATATAAACTTGTATAGCTCCTAGCAGGTGATCAAAATACCAGAAAAGATAACTACAGAATTACAGAATAATGGAGGTTTTGAGTGATGTCTGGAAGTCATCTCATTCAATCTCTAAGCAGAAAACAAAGAACCACAGAAAGTACAACAGAATCCCTGTTGCAAAGGAGTGGAGGAAAAAAGAAAAAAGACAACACAATACAAGTGGAATAGATGGGCAAGTATGAAATATATCTAAACTTCATATAAAGTGTCAACTACTGTCTTCACAGTGTGGTCAAACAAAACTGTTCCTCTGGGCCTGGCATCCAAGGACACCCTACAGCCACAGGCTCCAAAAAGTATAAACAAAAGTGAATAGGGGGGGAAGAGGGGATGGAGAATGAGCTGGGAGAATATGACTTCATTACCTGAAGCTGGAATTGGACAGTTAACCCCTGATATGCAGAGACCAAATTTGTATCTGTCTGAAAAACACGACTACCATCCACTTTGGGTGTAGCCCCTGGGTGGCTTTTGACTGTCCAAGGTTTATCTGTTGAAGGCCTTTAAAATAATGGATACCCACTTTATTGTCTTAACTTTGTCTAGCCTCTGTTTTAGGTAGTCACTCCAAGGCATCAATGGGATGAGAAAAAGGATAAACATGCAACAATAACAGTATCAAAAATATTTTAATGGAATAAAAGGCAATGCAGAACAGATTTCTGATTAAGATGTAAACAGTAAGTAATTCAAGTGGAAACAGAAAAAGAAGCTTCCAATGTAGTTATTGTCTAAATAGTTCCATAATAGTTCCATAAACATAATGATGTGAATAGGACAAGGCTGGATTCACTTAACAGAAAGATTCTGCTTTAATTTTGCATTTATCAAAAGGACAAATCATAAACATTCCAGACAATTTATCAAAGGTAATGTTTAAAAGACTAAATGTTAACAGACTGACTGTATTTTAAATGACAGTTTAACTGACTGTCTTTTAGCCTTTCAGAATGTTAAAAGACTGAATGTTAACAATGTTTTGTGCTCTAGTTTTGAGGAAGAAAGTAGAAGATGAAAAACAATCATAAAACCAAAATCAAATTTCATTTCGCTTTAAATTTATCTTCAGCCAAGAATATGCTCATAGTCATTAGGCATCAATCATATGCTGGTAAACCAAACAGTTCTGGTTTGAAATCTTCCATGGACTTCAGCACCAGTGTTGCATCCTTTTTAAGATCTGGACTTAGTTGTTCATCTGGAATCATAACCACTTGCATTCCTGCTGCCAGGGCTCCTCTGACTCCCTGTGGTGAATCTTCAAACACAAGACACTGAAAACCAAGAAGGTGAGGAGAAAAAGATAATTATAATGTTACTATGAACTTCTAATAGCTCGTTTTAAAAGAGAGAATGATCCTGAATGAAACTTAGTAGGACAACTAAATTTTGTTCTTGTCTTAGACACCCCTAATTAGAACAAGAGGAAACCTCTCAGTTTGAACATCTGCATGGTAATTAACCTTTAATTAATTTCAATTCAAGAAACATCAATACACTTAGTTAAATCCCAGAAAGTGGTTATCCAGATGTTGCTAAGTGCTTTAATAGGGACATGTTTAATCACAAGCTTAAAGTAAAATTAAGCAAGTGCCTAAATAAGCAGGCAATTTAACTTTTCCAAACCAACTTTAAAACTAGCAAAATGGCAAAAGCAGTGTTTTCACTCTCTGGTATGGCATTTCCTATATACACAAGATATGGGGAGCACTAAACTACCTAGGTAAACAGTAGAACTTCGGATTAGTGGAGACAGACACTACTTATCAGAAGAGTGCTGTCAAAGTCATACTCTATTTATTTAATTCTTCCAAATCAATGATGAGAAAGAAAACAAGCAATTATATTCAAAGGTTACATTTGGAGAAGAGAGAGTTTACTCAGGTAGAACTTCCATGCCTTACAATTGTCACAATCATTCCAGATTGCAGTTTGGAAGCACAGCTAAAATTGTTAATCATACATTATTTATGTGGATTTTTAAATTTAATGTCAGAATAATGAATAATAAATAAGATAAACTTATAAAAATCATATGGTCTGAAATTTTATATAATGAAAGATAATGTTTCTGGAGCTCATTCTAGAATTTATATAATGACGCATCTCTTCCTACCTCTTCCTGTCCATGACCTGCAAATTCAGTTTGGATTTTTGGTCATGGATAACCCAAAGCAACTTTTGGCATCCAAGGACCTGAAAAATTCTGACACATGGTTTTTAACACTTCTCCAATTCATTCTGCATTATCAATATTATTAACACTGCTACTTCTACTAATGCCAAAATCACTGCATCAAGTAATTTTAGTAATTGAAAACAGATGTTGGGATGGTTGGGGCAATTTTCCTCACATCTAGTAATCAATGCTCTCAGGCACATGGTGTGATTCCCGAGCCTGTCCTGTGCAGGGCCAGGAGTTGATATTTGATGATTCTTGTGAGTCCTTTCAAATCAGAATATTCTATGATTCTATGAACATACAACATCATACTGTACCTTTTAGGTTCTGAAACACACAACTATTTCACTGCAGAACATAAAGCATGCACAGTGTTTGTTCTGGCTGTGCTCTAATGAAACCAAGTTGCAACTTGCAAAACCCTTATTACATTCAAAGAAAATAATTTTGCAAGATGTATTAAATGTCTGACCTATAAACACCCATCTATGGTATATATGGGACTGTAGAAGGTATATATGGACTGTGGAAGGAGAAAAATGAAAGAACCCTCTTCTGATTTCCTTTCTTTTAAAAATATTGATTCTTGCCTTTCAACATATCAGCAACACCTTGGAGTCTGTGAAGTGAAAAGCAAAAGATACTTTCTACCTTGCATGTAATAAAATAAAACCTAATTAATAACTTTTAGTGACCGAAAGGAATCATACCAAACTCTTTTGTGCTCATTTCCTTCATACAGTCATTGCATTCCTGTTTGAACAATGTGATACTTTCAAAAGTTGATCATTGTTACTATTACTAACTACAAATATGTAACCAGCTTATCCTGGAAAGCTTCATACAATCGCTATTAGAATGGAAGCATGGCTCTGTCTATAGGGTTTTTTCTCAACAATAGCTTAGTTCATGACCTTAAGCACTCTGAGAACAATAAATGAAACTCTGACAGGCTTTGCTTTTTGAAGAATAAGCTTAAATGTTGCACAGAAGAGCATTATCAAGGCCTTTCAGAAACCTTTTCTGATCCAGCTCTTACAAAAGAATGTACTTCACTGCTCTGCCTTGAAAGACCTAATAGACTTCCATGATGTCACTAAGCTTACTCTATGAGAGGAGCCGATGATTATGGAAGGCAATATGCATAACGAAAAGCTTAACTAATTCCCTGGAACTAGACACAATTAAAACTCCTAATTACCAAAGAAACCAGGCAAATGACCCATAATTACAGTGTCTTGCATGTTACAGGAAGTAAGTGTACTAGGTCTTCCTTAAGTCTTTCTTTTTACTGAAACTTATTGTCAACAGCACAGTCACATTTTTAATGGATGATGAAAGGTTTACAGAGGTTCGCACACAAAATGAATTTATTAATACATAGAGATGTTAGAAAATCTTCACTGTCCTGGACCACCCACACACTAAATTTAGAGAAATGAAAGCAGCCAAGTTCTTTCCCATTTTGCATAAGTATTGCAACATCAGCATAATTCCAACTGAGAGACAGATGAGATTTATACAGACTTCAACTGAGATTCTGGCTGCTTTTGTGCATTATTTCTAAAACTTGTGTCACTGATCAATACTACTCCTATAAGATCTCTCAAAAGGTCATACTAATATAGGACAGTTCTTGCTTTGGAATGAACTAAATGCTTAAAAAAGTATAGCAAAGTATATTAATTTATAGTTCACTCTATGAATCTAGAAAAGGAAAAATTAATCATGTAACCAAAAAAAGAAATAATATTACTTCAGCACCTCATTACCTCATCCTCCTACATTAAATGCACGAATATAAAAAAGAAGTGTTAGGCACCTGGTATGTACAGCAGGCCCTCTCTACCCTATATACAGCAAGTCTGGATGGAATAATTATGTGACTAACGGGGATATCTGTAAGTGTTACTGCAGTTAGTGATAACCACGAAGGCTGGAAGGATGAAAGATTAAAATCAGTTTTAAAATTAAGATTTCGGAAGACCTGTGAAAATAATATATATGCATAGGGACTGCTTATCTAAAAATGACCACATATGACACTACTATATCAGCTCTAAAACAGACTGAAGGATGAGACTCAAGATGCCATGATTTATATGTACAGAATTCATCTGCAAGTTTAACATTACCATCTATTGTTCTGTAAGGAAAGAATGAAAAGAAAGTATTCATCACCTGCCCTCAAATGACACAGAAACATTTGGTATCAGAATGTGACATATTATGTTTTGGGCTTCTTATGGATTGCATCTCATACTCTGTAACTTCTTAATTTCAAATTGATGTTTTCCTCCTTCCTAATCTAATCAACTGGTCAAAAGCATGATGGATGATTTGTAAAATTTGCACAGTAGAAATATTTGGTACCCATATACATTACTTTATGTATATATGCACGATACAGTCTTCTATAAATGATTAAGGACTTATTTAAATTTCATTATATCTCTTAAAAAAGCCGCAAAACTGGGGAAGGCTGCAGGAAGAAATTTGCCAAGCACAGCAAGGTCACATGGATCTCAGAATGACACTTGACTTCTGTAAACCAAAAGGTGCTCAGGCCTTTCATTTCTACAGATAAATTGCTGACTGCTCATTGCCAGAAGTGTTTTTATTATTTTCTTTGTGAAAAACTAGCCCATACTATATGGTTAAAATTCAAAACTAAGTAGCATCTAAGAAGTAAATTATCAGTCTGAAAGGTATTACTACTGCAATCATGGTTTGTGGTTTGTTCAAAAACTTTTGTGATTTTCCCTTGCTCAATTTTTTTTAGATTTTCAAAATAATTCCAATACTAACCAATTGTGTTAGTCATGTGAGTGACCTATAAATTTTTAAGAACCATAATATAATTCAGAATACAACACTGATCCATTCATATCCCATACAAAATATTAAGATGCTTAAAAGGGGCTGTTTGTCATTTATGGGAAGTAGTGGAAACTCACAAAAAGAGAGAGGAAACAACTATTTTAACATCATAAACCACATGCTGGGTTATTTTTAACTCAACTTATATTTTCTTTTTTCCATTGTCCAAATACCTGGGAACAAGGGGAAAATGAATTTCTGGGTGACCCATTTGCCATCAGAGTTACTTAAACATTATTGAATGAATCCATTTTAAGCAGCTGCATGATTTGCAGTTTTGGTCTCCTCCTGTGTTAATTCTCTGATGAATTAAGAAAAAACAATAATGAAATAATGTATTTAATGTTTCTCTCCTAATCTTTGGACTTACACTCCTTCCAGAAATAGTTGGTACATATTCCAATAGTGAATACAAATAATAAATTAAATTTCATTTTATTTTAAGGACGTGTAAATTTGACCCTTTGCCAATTTGATAACAGAATCATAATAAATATGCTGTTAAGAAAGTAATGCAGCTTACAGCCCCACAACTTAGTTCCATTTAGGAAAATGATGAGTAAGCCAAGATATTTTTAAATTCTATAACAAATGAATAAACTGGAAACTAAAAATCAACTTAATTAAGCACCAGACTATTCAGAACACTAACTACAGCAACCATTCTTTATGAGTCAATGATTCATATTAGGAACTGTTTGGAAATTACATGCACATATGCTTTTTAATTCAGATTTTTATTAACTCACTACTGGGAGTATATTGCAGACCAATATAAGAATCAAATTATTTACCATAAAACATACAAAACAAAAAATCATTAGCATAATTTCAAAAAAGAAAAAAAAATGTTACATCTGCACATAATTAGATTACTCTGGGTTTCTAGCTCTCACATAAATGCCACTTTACATTTCCGACCACACCAGCAGTTCCTATCTCACAAACCAGTTCACAGACCATTATCTCAAGGAAAGCCAGAAGGAATAAAATGGTTTGGATGGAGAAGGAGGAGAAATTTCGTATTTCTCGCTTGTTTTCAAGACTTTCTTCAAGAAAGAAAGTGTTTCTGTGAGTTACAGTCAGCCCCAGACACAGTGGCTCTGTGAGGCAGGGAGAAGGTCACATTTACATGCAGGGTTACTCTGATCATTCCAGATGGCTGGAACACTCTTTTCACAGAGCACTGTGTGTTTAGAGGACAGCACACTG